GCCAACATGGTGAAACCTCGTCTCTACTAAAATACGGAAGTTAGCTGGGCATAGAGTCACATGCCTGTAATCCCAGCTACTTGGAAGGCCAAGGCACGAGGATCACTTGAACCCAGGAGGTGGAGGTTGATGTGAGCCGAGATCACGGCACTGCACTCCAGCCTGAGCAACATAAAAAGATCCCGGTCTCTACAAAAAGAAAAATTAAAAAATTAGCTGAGCATGGTGGCACACGCCTGTAGTCCGAGCTGCTCAGGAAGCTGAAGTGGGAGGATCCCTTGAGCTTAGGAGTTCACATCACTGCATCATCCCAGCCTGGGTGACACAGCAAGACAGAAAGAAAGAAAGAAAGAGCAAGGAAGGGAAGAAAAAAGGAAGGAAGAAAAGAAGAGAAAAAGAAAGAGGAAGGAAAGAAGGAAGGAAGGGAGGGAGGGGGAGGGAAATAAAAGGAAAAACAGAAGAGGACTCACATTAAAAGATGGTCGTGCTACATTGTTACGTAGAAAAAGCAGGTTCTACTTTCTTTTTTTGAGACAACATCTCACTCTGCCAGTCAGTAATGAGTGATAATTAGGTGTTACGTAGATTTTTTTTTTTTTTGAGACAAGGTCTTACTCTGTCACCCAGGCTGGAGTGCAGTGGCACAATCTCGGCTTACTGCAACCTCCACCTCCCAAACTCAAGCAATCTTCCCACCTCAGCCTCCTGAGTAGCTGGGACTACAGGCATGCACCACAACACCCGGCTAATTTTCTGTACTTTTGGTAGAGACAGGGTTTCACTATGTTACCCAGGCTGGTCTCAAACTCTTGACCTTAAGCAATCCACCCGCCTTGGCCTCCCAAAGTGCTGGGATTATAGGCATGAGCCACCATACCAGCCCATACTTTTTTTCCCCAAAAAAGATAGATGTAAATGAGTCTGGAAGGAAAATATTCTGAAATCTCAGTAGAGATTCTTTCTTTAAAACTCCACCGCAGGCCGGGCGCAGTGGCTGACGCCTGTAATCCAAGCACTTTGGAGGCCAAGGCGGGCAGATCACCTGAGGTCAGGAGTTCAAAAGCAGCCTGACCAACATGGTGAAACCCTGTCTTAAAAAAAAAAAAAAAAAAAACTCCACCTCAACTGTTGACAGACAAGTGAACTAATCTACATAAAGTACTTAGCATATAGTAAGAGCTCAATGAATGAGAGGAAGATTTTTATATATCATTTGTATTTGCTCAGATTTCCTCTAGTCGACAGATCTTCCTTGCAGAATTAAATACTTTTTTAAAACACAACTTTGGCCAGGTGCGGTGGCTCACACCTGTAACCCCAGCACTTTGGGAAGCCGAGGTGGACAGATCACGAGGTCAAGAGATCAAGACCATCCTGGCCAACATGGTGAAACCTCATCTCTACTAAAAATACACACATTAGCTGGGTGTGGTGGCATGTACCTGTAGTCCCAGCTACTCGGGAGGCAGGAGAATTGCTTGGACCCAGGAGGCAGAAGTTGCAGAGAGCCGAGATCGCACCACTGCACTCCAGCCTGGCACCTGGCAACACAGCGAGACTCTGTCTCAGAAACCAAAACCAAAACAAAAACACAGCTTTCAGTTCTTTGCCCTATTTATATCTAGAGCCATGGTTCTCAGAGGTGATCTTGCCTCCCTGGAGAGAGTTTAGGTTGTCACAGCTTGGGGAGGAGGGTGCTACTGACATCTGGGAGGTAGAGGCCAGGGATGCTGCTAAACATCCTACAACGCACAGGACAACCCCACTACCACAAAGGATGGCCTGGCCCCAAATGCTGGCAATGCCATGGTGGAAAATCCCTGACTAGGAGGAAACTGCAAGGCATTTCAGACGCCTGCTGTCCATCACCCCAGATCCACTCCATTCAAGAGACACACACACTACCCAGATCATCCAGGTGACTGGACGCTCCCAAGATCTAGAAAAAGCCCCTGTGGTCAGGCACAGTGGCTCACACCTGTAATCCCAGCACTTTGGGAGACTGAGGCAGGCGGATCATGAGGTCAGGAGTTCAAGACCAGCCTGGCTGATATGATGAAACCCCGTCTCTACCAAAAATACAAGAATTAGCTGGGCATGGTGGCACACGCCTGTAATCCCAGCTACTCAGGAGGCTGAGGCAGGAGAATAACTTGAACACGGGAGGCAAAGACTGTAGTGAGCCAAGATCATACCACAGCACTCCAGCCTGGGTGACAGATTGAGACTCTGTGTCAAAAACAGAAAAAGCCCCTGCATCAGAGCCAACAGCTGATCTTGATCAGATGTCTCAGAGAAAAGTCACTGTGGAAGAATCTTCCTAAAGCTTAAGTCTTAAACCCTCAGGAGAAATAGAAGAGAATAATGGTTCAAATGAACTATCACTTTTTTTTTCTTTAGAGTCCTAACAATTGGCCTCTTTGGTGAACAGTAAACAGCTTCGGTGGGCAGAGGGCCTTGTGGTGGTCAACCCTTTGTGGTCCAACCCCACTGAAGCTTCTGTATAAATGGTACTTCTGCCAACAGATGTGACACCCCACAGCACAGGGACTGCAACACAGACAAGGGTCCTTTGAGATCAGGGAAAGGGAGGAGGAGATGCTCTTCAGCCCTGGCACCAGATGACTGCTGGCTCTGGCTTGCCACCTCCCTCTTTCCTCCAGAACCAGCCAGATAATTGCATCAAATGATGGTACCCCAAATGCAGAATGGATGTGCAACCCTGCTGAAAATAAGGGAAGAAAAAGCCACCCAGTTTAATCCAGGGTTTCCCCACCTTTGATACTGCTGACATTTGGGGTTGGATCATTCTTTGTTGTGGAGGGACTGTCCTGTGCACTATAGGCTGTTGAGGAGCAGCTCCCTGGCCTCCACCCACAAGACACCCCACACCCCCCTCCCCCAACTTAGTCAGGACAAAAATGTTTCCAGGCATTCTCAGATGTCCCCTATTCTCAGTTGAGAACCACTGGCTTAAATGGATTCTGAATCCCTGTCCAGGGCAAGCTGGCTCTGACTTGAAACTAGTCCTGGTGCGGCCAGGTGCAGTGGCTCACGCCTGTAATCCCAACACTTTGGGAGGCCAAGGCGGGCGGATCACCTGAGGTCGGGAGTTCAAGACCATCCTGGCCAGCATGGAGAAACCCCATCTCTACTAAAAATACACAATGTGGTGGCATGCACCTGTAATCCCAGCTACTCAAGAGGCTGAGGCAGGAGACTCACTTGAACCCGGGAGGAGGAGGTTGCGGTGAGCCAAGATCACAGCATTGTACTCCAGCCTGGGAAACAAGAGTGAAATTCCGTCCCCCCCCCAAAAAAAGAAAGAAACTATTCCTGGAACCAAAGAGGAAACAAGCAAGCAAAAAACAACAACAACGCTGTCACAAAATTAAACGACTTCGCAATACTAGAGCCGGTTCACTCCCAAGCCCCTGCCTGGAGAGCATTGCCTCAAGACTACGACACTGTTAGTAAGAAAGTTTTGTGCATTTAGCAGTATTGACTGAGTATCTGCTATGTGCCAGGCACTGTTCTGGGCACTGGGGACACAGAGTAGATGTAAAAGACCAAGCCCTTGCTCCCAGATCACTTACTCAGGTCTGAGAATCATGCACGCCAGACAATTGCACTCCCTCAAACACTGATTAACCACTCTAGCAAGGAATCAAAACTGGATTCAGGAACTTACAACCACGGCCCCCACAGCGAAGACCTATTTGGTACTTAGGGCCTCAGTGCTTTACACACACCACTTCATCTACTCCTCACAGCTGGCCTAGGAGATCAGCATCCCCATTTCACAGCTGGGGACACTGAGCCTCAAGGGGTGGAGAAGGGGAACTATAGACTCCAGGCAACCACAACCCTCCCAGAGCTCAGGACACTGAGAACTGCCACCCCTCAATAAGCTTTCATTGCCCACCAAGTCCATCTGTCTTACGGTCTCCTGTTTGTGGGTTTCAGCTGGACTCTGCCCTGGGGGCTGGTATCTTACTGCAAGGCCAGCAAGTGAACCAGCAGGGTGAGACAGAGCCCACATGGAGGAGGAGAACAGAGGCTCAGGTTGCACCCTTTACCCAGGACCCCAAAGGCAAAGGGCAGGGCAGTGGTACTGGCTTCTATTCCCATTTTCCATCTGGGGCCTTGGCTGGGCTGGGCTGAGGGAGTGGGGGGAACGGGTCTGAAAGTGGACTGCCTTCCCAGTGCTCCCAGGAATTTCCGCATGACTTATAGGGGAGGGGCTTCCTCTTGCAGAGCCCAAACCGAGGAAGGAATTAGTGCCAAGCTCTATATGTCTCATGTCACCTCACAAAACAGCTCTCCCGCTCCCCCAACTCTCACCCCTGTCCTAGAAGGAGGAAAAACTTTAGGTGGTTTCCCCTAGAGAGAGCCCCAGGAGTTTTGCAACTCCAGCTTCAAAACCCCCTCCCCGTCCCGCCTCATCAGGCTTCCTACCCTTGGAGGAGGAGGCGGGGAGTCTCTGATCTGGAATGGGGGAATTCTGAGGGGAGAAGGAAGGGTTCATTTGTCTCATGAGGGAGAGGCTAGAAGCTTTTAAAGAGAAGGCTTATGAGGGGAGGGGAGGGAGTTGAGAACCATCAGAAAGCGCCAGGGATGAAGGACTTTGGAGAAAAGGGGGCAGGAGGCTTCTGGGGAGATGGCGGATTGGAGCACGCCTAGGGGAGACGGAAGAGTAAGGGGTGTTGGGGGGACGGATGACCGTGAGGCACTTGGGGGATATGGAGGAATGTGAGGTGTCCAGGGAGAGGGAGGATTTGGGGAGGAGAGGGAGGATGTGACATGTTCAGAGGGGAGAGGACTTGGGAGTGGCCCGGGAAAGGGAGAATTTAGGGTGTGTGGAAGGAAAGAGGATCTTGGAAGCCTGGGGAAACGGGATTTGGGTGTCTAGGGCAGAGGTGGTTAGGGGATGCTCGCGGGAGGAAGGATTCGGGTGCGCGTGGGGCTGCGGGCCGCTTCCCCCCTCCAGCCCGGCTCACCGAAGAAGGGCGGCAGGTGGGACACCGCCTCGAGGAAGGGCCCGGTCTCGATCTGCTTGTCCGCGGGCAGCGGCTTCAGCAGGTGTTCGGCCAGCAGCGCCATTTCGGGGTCGAGGCCCGCGGTGATGCCCCAGCCGGCGCCGCGGGCGTCCACGCCGCCCCCCGGGCCGCCGCCGTCAGCGCCGGGGCCGTCACAGCCTCCCGCCGCAGGCTCCGGGGACGCCAGCGTCGCCACTTCCGCCCGCGCTGCGCCCCAGTAGCCGAGCGCTCAGCGCCGCCCGCCGGCCAAGCGCCTAAGCAGCCAGGCGCGCCGCCCCGCCCCCTGCTCGCCAGCGCCCAATCCGAGCCCGCCGCCGAGGTCTCCGCGCCGCCATTGGCCAGGGGACGGGCCGGGGGCGGGGCGCAGAGGTGGCGCGCCGGCTCTTGGATCCCGAAGGGCCCAGGTGAGCCGCTCCCAGGTGAGTCTTCCCTAGGTGTGCCTCTCGCCACCCCCGGACGGGCCGCCTCGGGCCAGGTCACAGCTCACAACCCGCCCGCCAGCTTAGGTTCCAGCCCCAACCAGCCAACGCTCCCCAGGACCCCCGTTTCCCCAGAATTGTTCTCCAATAATCCCAAATGACCTGGGTGGACACTGCTCTCCTGTTGGTCACGGTTCTCTTTCGCTACAACCGACGGAGACGCTCGATTGCTTGATTCTTCGTCTTCAGTGACCTTATACCTGTTGAACACGGTTAAAGTCACAGCCTAACTCAGCCCCTGCCCTGCTGGACGACTCCTGCTTCCCGAAATCTGGGTCCAGTCTGCCCTCAACAGTATGCTGTTGCCTGTCGTGAGGCAGGAAAATAGGCCCTGGAGGCAGGGAACGTAAGGCCGATCCGCGCTGACTTTCTAGACCGAAGTCGAATGAGAGCACCTCAGCAATGACAGAAACGTGAATGGCTTTGCAACTTCACTTCATCCTCTCCATTCGTGCCCTTCACACTTTGTAACTTCACATTCACCCTCTCTATTTACATGGACCACACACTCCAAGTAACATCCTCTCCATTTGCAATAGGGCATATTCCGAGTAAATGACTCTGTGACTTCATTCTCTTCATTTACATAGAATATTCACCAAGTAACCAATGGGAAACCCCTCGAGTATTGAAACCCCACAAAATTCTGTAAGCCGGGCTCTTGAGCCTCTTTGCTCGGGCTGCTCCCACATTGTGGGGTGGACTTTCTGTCAGGCCTCCATGTGCAAGCCCAGACCCAGGAAGTCTAAAGTCCCGCCTGCCTCGGCTGATCACCCCCACCCCTGCCTTCGTTCGCCATTATCCCCGATCACCCAGCGGAGCTTCCCCTGAACTTACGGTAATGTATACTCCTTGCCCCTACCCCCACCACTGTAACTGATCTTACTCCGTAACACCCCTGCCCCCTCCCCAAAAGATTTGCCGCAATCTATAAAACCAACTCCTATCCCACCACCCTTCTCTAATGCCCTTTTCAGCGTTGGCCCACCTGCAGCCAGGTGAATAAACAGCCATGTTGCTCATACAAAGCCTGTTGGGGGGGGGGGGGGTCTCTTCATTCAAAGTACGCGTTTTAACGCATTTGTTCTCAGTAAATCCCTGCTTTTGCTTTCCTCGCTTTACTTGTGTGTTTTGGCCAAGATGCCAAGAACCTGGACACCTTCTACCGGTGACAGTTGGAGCCAGCCCAGTTGATACCAATTCAACCACAACCTGACTGGGCACTTGTTTTCCAAACCTAACCTTTCCCCAGCAGCCCAGGGTCCATGCTTCTCACACCTTGAATCTCAAGTTACCTCAGCCACAACCCACCTACATGCTCATGTCCTAAACCCAGTGCCCAAGAGCCTCTTATTCATTCCAGAATAGACATTTGCATCCATGCCCCCTACCTCCCCACTCTGTACTGTGCGCTCCACTGGGCACTGAAGATAAAGTGATGAACAACAAACACAATCCCTGACCTTGTGGAGCTGACATTCTGGTCAGGGACACAGCACAATGCAAACAATGCAATACACGAATTGGTAAGACAGCTTCAGACACTGATGAGTACGTGAAGGAAATAAAACAGTGAGTGACTGAGGATGCCCAAAGCCTGCTGGCTGGGATCAGAGGTGGGGGTTTGGGGGCAGTACCTCTGAAGAGGTGATATTTGAGCTGAGACTTGGAGGAGAAGTAGGATAGTGCCAGGTCAAAGACTTGGGGTGTGAGTCTGGCCAACATGGCAAAACCCCGTCTCTACTAAAAAGTACAAAAATTAGTCAGGCATGGTGGCTGCAATCTCAGCTACTCAGGAGGCTAAGGCAGGGAGAATTGCTTGAACTAGGGAGGCCAAGGTTGTAGTGAGCTGAGACCACACAGTTGCATACCAGCATGGGCAGAGCAAGACTCTGTCCCCCCACTCCCCCCCCAAAAAAAGACTTGGGGTGTGAGGCACATGCAAAAGCCTTAAGGTCACAAAGAGCTTGGTGTGGTGCTGGGAATGGGGAGGGAGGTCAGGAGGAAATGGGAATGGGTAAGTGAGGGCAAGAGTGAGTAGGGTGATAGGAGTTGAGGTCAGGGAGGTGAGCAGAGGCTGGAGTATGCTGGAGCAGGAAGGGAGTGCTGAAGAGTTTGGATTTTGTGTTAAAGGCAATGGGAACTCACTAGTGCATTTATGCTGAATCTTGTTGAGTGTGAATGCTGAATGTTTTCTTTTTTTTTTTTTTTTTAGAGAGACAGGATCTCACTCCGTAGCCAAGGCTGGAGTGGTGTGATCACAGCTCCCTGCAGCCTCAACCTTCTGGGCTCAAACAATCCTCCCACCTCAGCCTCTCAAGTAACTGGGACTACAGGAACATGCCAACATGCTAGCCTAATTTTTTTTGTTTTGTGTAAAGATGGGGTCTTGCTATGTTGCTCAACCTGGTCTTGAACTCCTGGGCTCAAGCAATCCTCCTACCTTGGCTTCTCAAAGTGCTAGGATTATAGGTGTGAACCACTGTGCCCAGCCTGAATGTTTTAATCTTTCAGGGGGCAGGTGAGAGAAGAGGTTGTTTCAAACCATGACCCAGGTAGAATCAGGAAGTGAGAGGGGCTGAGGGAGAAAAAGCTAACGTCAACTCTTGCTCATATCCAGACCCTGACATGCCTCATCAAGTCAGATCTCACACTGATAGGATCCCAAGCCATCAGCTCGGCTTGTTCCCACCGCACCCAACCTCACTACCTCAGGCATCCTTCGATACCATCTCCTTGAAGCCTCACTGGCCCGCCCAACACCCTGTCCCAGTGCCAGAACCCTACCCACCTGTCAGACGCCTCCATCAATTCCACACAGAGATTGCACCCTACTTGGGGACCTCTGGCATCAGACAACACCCTGATTTCTCAACCTGTTCCATTCCAGACAAACCATTCAGAAACTATGGCTGATTCAAGAAGGACCTTACCGTGGAACATCAGCTTGATGCATTGACATAGGTCATTGCTCTGAGATAATGGAGCATCTTGAAAGTTCATCCATCCATTCGTCTACCCCTTCAATTCAACAAATATGATCAGTCCCTGGCCTAGGGTGGATCCTTGCCTTTCCATACCTTGTGACAGGGGCCAGGCTGGTAGCATAAATGGGTGCTGTGGGCTGGTCATGACATAGTGAGGAGTGGTGGAGACTCTGGAGAATTGGGGGCCACATGGCCCACTGAAAGGGCACTATTATTCATGCATGGTGGCCTGTGCTTGTAGTCCCAGCTACTTGGGACGCTGAAGTGGGAGGATCCCTTGATCCCAGGAGTTGGAGGCTGGAGTGAGCTATGACTGTGCCACTGCTCTCCAGCCTGGGTAACAAAATGAGAATGCATCCCTTAAAATTGAAAAAAGAAAAGAAAAGAAAAAAGAAAGAAAGAAACAAAGAGAAGAGAGAGGAAGGAAAGAAGGGAGGCAGAGAGGGAGGGAGGGAGGGAGGGAGGGAGGGAGAGAGGGAGGGAGGGAGGGAGGGAAGGAGGGAGGGAGGGAGGGAGCTGTCAGTCTCTTCATGTGACTACTCATCCCCCAGAGCTGCTAGCTTTTCCAGTTCCAGAAGGGAACTTCCTGAAGGGCAACCAGAAACCTAGATCTGTAGGTAAAAATTGCTTGATTTTTTAAAAATCGTTTTATTTTTTAGATGGAGTTTTGCTCTTGTTGTCCAGGCTGGAGTGCAATGACGCAATCTCGGCTCACTGCAACCTCCACCTCCCAGGTTCAAATGATTCTCCTGCCTCAGCCTCCTGTGTAGCTGGGATTACAGGCACCTGCCACCACGCCCAGCTAACTTTTTGTATTTTTAGTGGAGACGGGATTTCTCCATGTTAATCGGGCTGGTTTCAAACTCCGGGCCCGTCCCCAGGACAGTTACTTTATAGAATATTCCTCATTTTGGGTTTATCTGATGTTTCTTCCTGATTAGATTCAAGTTGTACATCTTAAAACTAGAAGCAGCTGTAGATTTTGTGTGTCACAAACTCACAGGAGTGATGCTCTGTCCTTCTCATTGTAACATAACAGATGATGCAGTGATTTTTCCTTGTCCCATTATTGAAAATCTAATGTTTTGTTTGTTTGTTTTTTGAGACAGAGTCTCACTCTGTCACTAGGCTGCAATGCAGTGGCACGATCTTGGCTCACTGCAACCTGTGCCTCCCAGGTTCAAGCGATTCTCCTGCCTCAGCCTCCTGCATAGCTGGAATTACAGGTACACGTCACCATGCCAGGCTAATTTTTAGTAGAGATGGGATTTTACCTTGTTGGCCAGGTTGGTCTCAATCTCTTGACCTTGTCATCTTCCCGCCTCACCTCCCAAAGTGCTGGGATTACAGGCATGAGTCATGTTTTTTTGTTTTTGTTTTTGTTTTGGGAGACAGACTCTTGCTCTGTTGCCCAGGCTGGAGTGTAGTGGTGCAATCATAGCTCACTGTGGCCTTGAACTCCTGGGCTCAATAAATCCTCACAGCTCAGCCTCCTGAGTAACTGGACTACAGGGGTGCACTTGTTATTTCAGATCTTAACTTTGATCATTTGAATAAGGTGTCTTCACTTTTCCCCACTGTAAAGCTATTATCTTCCTCTTTGAAATTAACAAACGCTCTGTAGAGAGGCACTAGGTAAATATCCCTTCACTGATAAAAACTTCCATTTATTTATTTACATCAGTGGGGACTTGTAATTTATATATATACATATTGTTTTTCTTTTCTTTTTTTTTTTTTAGACAGAGTCTTGCTCTGTCGCCCAGGCTGGAGTGCAATGGTGT